TTGTACTTCAGTAGTTGATGCTGCTGTAGTCGGTTTATCAGTCGTAGAAGATTTGGTTGTTGGTATTTCAGTTGTCAAAGCCTCTGTAGTTGGTGCATTAGTAGTAGATGATTTTGTTGTTGGTGCATCAGTAGTAGATGATTCTGTTGTTGGTGCGTTGGTAGTAGATGATTCGGTTGTTGGTGCATCAGTAGTAGATGATTCTGTTGTTGGTGCATCAGTAGTAGATGACTCAGTAGTAGGTGCATCAGTAGTAGATGATTCGGTTGTAAGTGCATTAGTAGTAGATGATTCTGTTGTTAGTGCGTCGGTAGTGGATGGTTCTGTTGTTTGTACTTCAGTAGTTGATGCTGCTGTGGTCGGTTTATCAGTCGTAGAAGATTCGGTTGTTGGTACTTCAGTTGTCGATGCCTCGGTAGTTGGTACTTCAGTTGTCGATGCCTCTGTAGTTTGTGCATCAGTAGTAGATGATTCTGTTGTTGGTGCATCAGTAGTAGATGATTCGGTTGTAGGTGCATCAGTAGTAGATGATTCTGTTGTTGGTGCGTCGGTAGTGGAAGGTTCTGTTGTTTGTGTTTCAGTAGTTAATGCTGCTGTAGTTGGTTCATCAGTCGTAGAAGATTCAGTTGTTGGTACTTCAGTTGTCGATGCCTCTGTAGTTGGTGCATCAGTAGTAGATGATTCTGTTGTTGGTGCGTTGGTAGTAGATGATTCGGTTGTCGGCGCATCAGTAGTAGATGATTCTGTTGTTGGTGCATCAGTAGTAGATGACTCAGTAGTAGGTGCATCAGTAGTAGATGATTCGGTTGTAGGTGCATCGGTAGTGGATGGTTCTGTTGTTTGTACTTCAGTAGTTGATGCTGCTGTAGTCGGTTTATCAGTCGTAGAAGATTCGGTTGTTGGTACTTCAGTTGTCGATGCCTCTGTAGTTGGTGCATCAGTAGTAGATGAGTCTGTTGTTGGTGCATCAGTAGTAGATGACTCAGTAGTAGGTACATCAGTAGTAGATGATTCGGTTGTAGGTGCATCAGTAGTAGATGATTCGGTTGTTAATGTGTCGGTAGTGGATGGTTCTGTTGTTTGTACTTCAGTAGTTGATGCTGCTGTAGTCGGTTTATCAGTCGTTGAAGATTTGGTTGTTGGTACTTCAGTTGTCGAAGCCTCTGTAGTTGGTGCAATAGTAGTAGATGATTCTGTTGTTGGTGCATCAGTAGTAGATGATTCTGTTGTTGGTGCGTTGGTAGTAGATGATTCGGTTGTTGGTGCATCAGTAGTAGATGATTCTGTTGTTAGTGCATCAGTAGTAGATGACTCAGTTGTTGGTACTTCAGTTGTCGATGCCTCTGTAGTTGGTGCATCAGTAGTAGATGATTCTGTTGTTTGTGCATCAGTAGTAGATGATTCGGTTGTCGGCGCATCAGTAGTAGATGATTCTGTTGTTGGTGCATCAGTAGTAGATGACTCAGTAGTAGGTGCATCAGTAGTAGATGATTCGGTTGTAGGTGCATTAGTAGTAGATGATTCTGTAGTTAGTGCGTCGGTAGTGGATAGTTCTGTTGTTTGTACTTTAGTAGTTGATGCTGCTGTAGTCGGTTTATTAGTCGTAGAAGATTCGGTTGTTGGTACTTCAGTTGTCGATGCCTCTGTAGTTGGTATATCAGTAGTAGATGATTCGGTTGTTGGTGCATCAGTAGTAGATGATTCTGTTGTTGGTGCGTCGGTAGTGGATGGTTCTGTTGTTTGTATTTCAGTAGTTGATGCTGCAGTAGTTGGTTCATCAGTCGTAGATGATTCGGTTGTTGGTACTTCAGTTGTTGATTCCTCTGTAGTTGGTGCATCAGTAGTAGATGATTCTGTTGTTGGTGCATCAGTAGTAGATGATTCGGTTGTCGGCGCTTGAGTAGTAGATGATTCTGTTGTTGGTGCATCAGTAGTAGATGACACAGTTGTTGGTGTGTCGGTAGTGGATAGCTCTGTTGTCGGTGTCCGTGTTGTCGATGTCTCTGTTGTTTGTGCATCAGTAGTGGGTTCGTCGGTAGTCGATGGTTCGGTTGTTAGTGCTTCTGTTGTTGGTACTGGAGTAGTCGATGGTGGTGGTGCCATTATTGCAGTAGTTGCTGTTGCAGATTAGATCGTGTGGTTACATGGATGTGAGTAGCAGAATTAATATATAGGTATAGTGTAATAAAAAAAATAATAATAATAACATTAATAATAATATTAACATTGCAGTAGTGCTCAAGGCGCACCAGGACTGAACCAAAATTTACAGTGAACTACCAAAAGAAAAAGAAAAAACACCATACACATCACTGCACCATTTTTATGTAATTTGAGGTACATAGGTGCTCTAATAATGAATGTGTCTAACTAAACAAATTAAGGTAAACGTTTTATTTCTAATTAGACCAGGCTATAACTGAGATAGGTGCCACTTGGAGAGGTAGAAATTCTCATATGGTTTTTCTAGGCCAGTTTTTTATCGGGAATCAGAATATGTGAGGTAAAAGGGGTGTAACCTGAGAACTTTCGCATGAGGGCGCTTTTTCAAAATGGCCGCCAAAATCCAATAAACTACATATATATGGGTAAAATAAGCACAGAAGAGGGTGTGCCAACTTGTTGATAATGATGAGATTTTTCTTTTGAAGAACGGGTCAGTTGTACCTGTCTCTTATACACATCTAGATGTGTATAAGCGACAGGTGCTATCCAAGGTATTTCAGGCAACTCCCATAATTTTCATGTATGAAGAAGGCATAAATTCATTTACTACATATTTGTCCTGTAGTGTTTAATGTGTAGCCCTATGTTGTGCAATAATCTTCAGGTATTGCTTTTATCACTGCAATCTGAAAGTCTTCGTATTTATCGTATGAATGTTCAATTCTTGGATTTCCACGGGAATTTCTGCTAACATTGTGGCAACCATAATCTTGTCTCTGCAAACCTTTCTACTGAACATGTTACTTGCTTAATTTACATTTTTCTCCTTAACTCCAAGCAGCAGTGAGACATACTCTTGTTCTTCAGACAACTTTTGTGACAGAACATCTAAAACTCCGAAGTCGCTAAAAGTTTCAACAAACACAGTTTATGATTACAGAAGCTACGTTTTCCTTTACGAAAGAAAGCCGGGGTGTAAT